ACTTATGATAAGTCAATGGTATTTGGTATGCAGTTGAATTAGCATTGGCACATCTCATTTCCATGGAAATTGTTTACTAAGTATTGCTATTTTTTAAAAGTCAGGTATATTATACTAAAAATAAGGAGATGTGGTATGATTGCCAATGAGGCAACTATCCACTGGCTTTCTACAATGAAAAAAATTCATACCGTATATTCGGCTATAAAAGGCCCCAGCAGGAACAATGTGAAACAATTAGAACGAAAAATCCAACGGCCTAATTAGATATAAAAAAACAATTTACAAAAAATCAAATATGAGTTGACAGACTGAACTGCAGGCTCTTGACTTGGAACAGACACACAAAGAATGTGGCAGGGTTAAACATGTTTATGAGCGCTCAGCCCTCCCTTAAACTGGGACAGTGGTGTAACAAGATTCAAGATACGAGATACAAACTGTAATAAAATGCTCCGCTGGGCGCAGCTTGATACGACGCGGAGGTCGAATCCTGAACAGTTGGGGCAAGTATGGACACAACATTCAAGTTTGATACACCAGTGAATTTGGATTGTGATTAAATATTTGACACAGCATAGGTTTCTGACACAGAATGAATGTGGTCTAAGAACTTAAAATTTTTTAATTTGCCTATTCAAACCATATTATTATTTGCTTTTATATATAAATCAGAAATAACCAATTAAAAATGGAAAATTTTAAAGAAAAAAAAAATCCCTCCCCCAAATTTTTTGAACCCCCTTATGATTCATCACTCCCAAACTCAATCCCAGCCTTCCCTTTGTGGTATGGTACCTTGTAGTACAATTTCAGAGAGATCCATACACTTGAACACAAGTTATTGTCTGGAAACTAGAAAAATGCTTGTTTTTAGGCCCTTTTTTGGCCCCAAATTCCTAAATTTTTAGGGCAATTACCCCCAAACTCAAACCAAGCTTTCCTTTTGTGATATGGAACCTTGTAGTACAATTTCATAAAGATCCATACACTTACACACAAGTTATTGTCCTGAAACTAGAAAAATGCTTGTTTTTTGCCCCTTTTGGCCCCTAATTCCTAAAATTTTGAGGCAATTACCCCCAAAATCAAAAACTTGAGGCAATTACCCCCAAAATCAATCCCAACCTTCCCTTTGTGGTATGGTACCTTGCAGTAAAATTTCAGAGAGATCCATACACTTGAACACAAGTTATTGTCTGGAAACTAGAAAGTGCTTGTTTTTAGGCCCCTTTTGGCCCTAAATTCATAAACATTTAGGGCAATTACCCCCAAACTCAAACCCAGCTTTCCCTTTGTGATATGGAACCTTGTAGTACAATTTCATAAAGATCCATACACTTACACACAAGTTATTGTCCTGAAACTAGAAAAATGATTGTTTTTTGCCCCTTTTTGGCCCCTAATTCCTAAAATTTTTGAGGCAATTACCCCCAAAATCAATCCCAGCCTTCCCTTTGTGGTATGGTACCTTGCAGTACAATTTCAGAGAGATCCATACACTTGAACACAAGTTATTGTCTGGAAACTAGAAAAATGCTTATTTTTGGCCCCTTATTCCTAATCGTTTTGGGCAATTACCCCCAAACTCAATTCCAGCTTTCCCTTTGTGATATGGAACCTTGTAGTACAATTTCAGAAAGATCCATACACTAACACACAAGTTATTAATTGAAACTAGAAAAATGCTTGTTTTTTGCCCCTTTTTTGGCCCCTAATTCCTAAACTTTGGAGGCAATTACCCCCAAAATCAATCCCAGCATTCCCTTTGTGATATGGAACCTTGTGGTACAATGTCAGAGAGATCCATACACTAACACACAAGTTATGTCGGTTAGTTACAAAAATGCTTATTTTTGGCACCTTTTTGGCCCCTTATTCCTTAACTGTTGGTACCATAACCCCCAAAATCAATCCCAACCTTCCTTTAGTGGTATTAAACCTTATGGTAAAATTTCATAGAGATCCATTCACTTAAACTAAAGTTAGAGTGCGAAAACCAATGTGTCATCGGACGACGACGACGCCAACATCATACCAATATACGACCAAAATTTTTTTAATTTTTGCGGTCGTATAAAAATCAGTTGCAGTTGGATGAACTCAAAAGGTCGGTACGAGACACAAAAAAACAACTGACATTAAGACAATAGACACAAAGCACTGAAATAAAGAGTATTTGCAGTTACCTAAAGTTTGTTCAAAGCCAATTACAACTGACAAATAAATCTTGATCTCCCAGACTAAAGTATCAATCAGTACACAACCAACGGATTTAGTCATAAACCGTCTGTGAAAAGGTCATGAACTTGTATTCCTTGTATACATATGCAATTCAAGATTCTGGAAACGTGGTGGTCCGAAGGATTTGACCATCAAAATTTTGTAATAGAAATAAATAATTAGGACCAGCAGATTTTTAAGGACCACCAGGGAAAAAAGATTATTAGAACTCTGCAATATCTTTTACATACAAAAATAATCCAGTTTGGTTACTTTCAAAAAATTTGATAGCCAAGATGTCCTTTTCGATCATATACCAGACAAACATTAACAAATTCTTGTGCAGTTTAAGATTATTCCTGAAAATCAAATGGTCAAAGCTTTAAACCGGATTGTTTTTTTAAAATTGAGTTAGGAAAGAACAAAGAAAAACTGTCACTAACACAGCGATTTCTTCCAACCAATTTTCTTTGTTTTACACTTTTTGTATAATTACTTCAATGCCAAAACAGAGCACACTATTACATTCATCGATCTTGGTTCATGTCTTCTGAATTGAATTTGACACTACTACTATTGGGGTGTTTGAAAGTTAGAAAAACGTCTCCATTTTTAAGTCCCAACAAAATAGCGAGAAAACAACTCTGGGAACCTTCTTACGGGGAAAAAATTGGTCTTTAACCAAGTTAACAGGACATTTAGCTGAATTGTGGTTATCCTTGACTATGAGGAGCCATGCAGAATTGAAATTGGAATTGTTATAAATGACACATCAGGAAAATATTGGTTATTCTATAATGAAATAAATATAATAAACAATTAAAATAATATATCAGTCTATCTTCACTAAGTTACTGACAATAACTGAGTCTTGGAGGTATTTGTAAGAAAGTGATATTTCTGTAACTGTTCACAACTTTAATGTATTAAAGCCTTCATCTTGGTCTGAAGAAACTATACTTTAAAATAGATGGAAGTAAGTTGCAAAAGAGTTGGAACCTTGTTTTATACACAAAACCTTGTGAACATAACTGCTACAAGCCCTAATTGATAATTCTTATCTTTATAGGATAATTAGTCGGGTGTAATTCATTTAGAATAACACAAGAGTGCACATGCAGAAATGTCTCGCCTTCTTTACTTATCATTGATATTATGTTGATAGTCCTAAATATAAAGCTTTATTACAACTGTCACATAAACTTAACATTAACCAAGTAAACTAAATATTGACCAATGAACCATGAAAATGAGGTCAAGGTCAGATGAACCATGCTAGGTAGGCATGTACAGCTAACAATTCTTCCATACAACAAATATAGTTGACCTATTGCTTATAGTTTAAGAAAATCAGACCAAAACACAAAAACTTAACACTGAGCAATGAACCTTGAAAATGAGGTCAAGGTCACATAAAACCTGCGTGACTGACATTTAGATCATAAAATATTTCCATACACCAAATATAGTTGAACTATTGCATATAGTATTAGAAAAAAAGACCAAAACTCAAAAACTTAACTTTGACCACTGAACCATGAAAATGAGGTCAAGGTCAGATGACACCTGCCAGCTAGACATGTACACCTTACAATCATTCCATACACCAAATATAGAAGACCTATTGCATACAGTATAAGAAAAACAGACCAAAACACAAAAACTTAACTATAACCACTGAACCATGAAAATGAGGTCAAGGTCAGATGACACCTGCCCGCTAGACATGTATACCTTACAATCATTTCATACACCAAATATAGTAGACCTATTGCATACAGTATAAGAAAAAACAGACCAAAATACAAAAACTTAACTATAACCACTGAACCATGAAAATGAGGTCAAGGTCAGATGACACCTGCCAGCTAGACATGTACACCTTACAATCATTCCATACACCAAATATAGTAGACCTATTGCATACAGTATAAGAAAAACAGACCAAAACAAAAAAACTTAACTATAACCACTGTTCCATGAAAATGAGGCCAAGGTCAGATGACACCTGCCAGTTGGACATGTACACCTTACAGTCCTTCCATTCACGGAATATACGAGACCTATTGCTTATAGTATCTGAGATATGGACTTTACCACCAAAACTTAACCTTGTTTACTGATCCATGAAATGAGGTTGAGGTCAAATGAAAACTGTCTGACGGGCATGAGGACCTTGTTAGGTACGCACATACCAAATATAGTTATCCTATTACTTATAATAAGAGAGAATTTAACATTACAAAAAATCTTAACTTTTTTTTCAAGTAGTCACTGAACCATGAAAATGAGGTCAAGGACATTGGACATGTGACTGACGGAAACTTCATAACATGAGGCATCCATATACAAAGTATGAAGCATCCAGATCTTCCACCTTCTAAAATATAAAGCTTTTAAGAAGTTAAATAACGCCGCCACCGTAGCCGTATCACTATCCCTATGTCGAGCTTTCTGCGACAAAAGTCGCAGGCTCGACAAAAAATTGATGGTAGTTGCATATATTACTCCAGGGTTTTGTATACTGGAATATGCAGGTAGAATCTAGGACATTCCAGTATGCTGCAGGGTCCTGAAGTTACAACTTATATTCCTTTGAGGTCCTTCCCTACACCTGAGTATTAGACCACAAAAAGGTTTAACAGAATAATAATGTCCAGTTGAGGTTTACTGCCCTTTGAATAAATCAACAAGAAAATATTTATATAAAAAAAAAAAACACCACATGACAACTAGAGTTTCATGCACAATTTATAGAAACAAAACAAAAAAACACATTCAAATCTTAATACTGATTTATTGCACACATATTTAGCATACATTTATACTTGTACATTAATACAACCAAAATTGAATCCAGGCGATTCATAAATACTGGCTTTCAGATTTTGTAAGCCATTTAAAAATAAATTCATATCACAAAGAACATATAAAATGGCAGTAATAACAACAATTATAAAGCTTTATATTCAAATAATTTAATTTTGGATGTAACATGTCTTCTGATTGGTGAAATGTTTGTCTATCAGCTCATAGACCTAATTTTGTCATGTGAGCATGACGTCAACGTTTTTTCATGATTTACTCCTTAAAGATGGAATTTAGAATTAAGTTATAAGGAATGGCTGTAATATTTTTTCTTTCTATTCGAAATAACCTAAAAATTGTGGTGCACACTTTTAAATAATCTGCTACGCAGGTTATTCAGTGTGCACCACATTTTTTATGTTATTTCTTCATAGACAGTCATTCCTTAAATATAGGTCATTTGCAGACAAGTTTAAACACTTGCCTGTAACTTAATATGATGCATCCATAATTGAATGTTATAGGCAAAGACAACTTGCATTCGTTGACTTTTGGTGATATTGTCCGTAAGTTTTATCTAACACATGAACTAATGGATAGGTGGGAAACTGTTGGATTATTTTGGATATATAAAATACAATACATGGGTAGGTTAATAGTTTTATCTTTGTATAAAACTAAAATTACTACTATACTAAGTTATAAAACTTTCATAAAACTTTAATAGTAATAAATAAATAATGTCACCAGGGTTTCTAATGAAACTAAAAGCAAAGCAAATACCAAATTTTTGTAAATGTTCTTGATTTTTTGGGCAGTTTTTCCAGTCTTGTCATTGGCTACTAGGCCAACTACTGTATCACTAGCCTGTCAACACTAAGGTTGTGGATTTGAATCCCACATATGGCAGGTGCGTTTGACTCCAATCTTAATTGACTAGGATTGTCAGTTAATCTACCGAAGGTCTGGTTCTCTCCTGCACTCTGGCTTTCTCCACTAACAAAAACTGACCACCACGAAATAGCGCAATAGTGCTGAAAGTGGCATTAAACACCAATCAATCAATCAATATTTCAATAAATATAATACATAAAATGTCCTTATTTGTATAACTTTACAAGAAAAATATTTTTGGCATGCTAATTAATATCCAGTAGCAAATATTTCATGAATATTATAGGACAGAACCACACAATAATTGCCAAAAAATCACATATGGCGCTTACCAATGTTATCAGATACATGAGGCATAATACTATTAACATTGAATCATTGGCAACATTAGAAATGCAGCATTTTTCATGCTAATCAAAACATTTAAGTGCAATTTCGTTGGTTTTGAGGCTAGAAAAAAACAATAATTGCAAGTCCTCAACAAAATATACATAACCAATTGTTTTGTCCATCTAGCAATTGATATTTTAAACTCCAAATATTCCTGAAACATCAACCTTTTTCATATAACATAAATAGGCTACTGCAAAAATCAATAATCATATAGACATCTATGTGGATGCAAACATCACTTAAAGATATAGTAATAATAAACTTTTTTAACTAAATATAAATATATGGGATATATTATATATATGAATATATAGAAAAAAAAGTATACCAGTAAAACATATGATATAGTACTTTAATGTTTTAAGTAGTTGGATATCCAATTCATTTGATTCTAAATTAATATGATGAATAAATAAGAATGGTCAGCCTCATATAAATTATAAAATTTTGAACAATAAAATAATACATGTAGTCAAAATTCAATTGATATATATCAATCAATAATAAACATGCTAAAATTGTAAGTCATAAAAGTCAAGTCAATGAACCGGTATTTTATCTTCCTATTAATTTAGATTTGATCCATCCTTTGAGCTCAATATACTTATATGTAATATATAATTCTAGTGCTTATTTTTATGGTTAAATGTATAAATATATCATTATAGAGTTCTCTTGATTGAAAGACCAATTGGACTTTCAAAGATATAGAAGGACAAATAATTACATTGGAACAAAAAGAATATGGTGTTAATTAATTATGCCAGATTATCAACAAAATAATTATAGTATCTTTGCTCTTAACATTTGTCTGATTCTGAATTAGCTTTTATTTTAGTAAAACATTCTTTTATTCACTGATGAAGTAAGAAATTACTCTAAGGGTCTTACCAAAGATATATACATATAACAATAATCTTTTGACCTTAATGAGGAATTTTTTTCATTAAATTAACCTCATTTCACACAAACATACACACTCACACATTTCTTCAATTCCATATAACTTATATGAAGTAGTACATGTATACTTGATACAATAATTAAAGCAGAAACTAAAATATATAGAACAAATTGCACCAAAGCCCATGAGTATTATGCTTAAACAATAATCATAAAATCTGTAAGCAAAGAAAATGTCTTGCCTGTAAGCAAAAATATGACTGTGCCAACAATTGCATGTATTATTATTAATGTAATATTATTATTAATGTAATATTTGTTATATTTATATAAGGCCCCTCCCCAAATCAAAATAGTTACCAACTTCTGATTTTTCTGTTCACCAAAATCAAAACACAAGACTTCTCAAATATCAACTTGTGTCGACAGTCTAACAAAATTAGTTATTTTACCTTTATATATATAGAAAACCTGAACATGGAATATTGTGGAAATTTTGAATTCACTGGATCATAATTAAGCAGAGAGTCTCAAATTCTCCCTTCATTCATTTTTAGTGAATACTTATTTTAATATACATGTATATTGAAATAACATGTAAAGGATATGGAACCAATTGTTGAAAGAGGATTTCTAAATCTGGACGACAATTCATGAATGAGACGTTAAATGCACAGAGACAGGTGTTCTGCCAAACAAAAATGAGGCATATATAAACAGTGAACACTACACACACTTAAAACTAAAGCATTGTATATTCATGCATTCAGAAAACTTAACCTTCAACTTTTACTATGACACAGGAAAATTTGTACTTTTTTCTCATCTCCATTGATATTACCAGTACACATGGATGAGATAACAAAAAAATCAGCAGTGAATTGGCTATAAGTAAGTTTGGGGTAAAAACTGCACATTGGGTAGTTGAACTAAGTTTGAATGGTATAGATCATTTCAGTATGTTAGTACACAAAAAACAATGATAAAGGACTTTGAAAAATACATATTTTGAATAATTAAAAATATAAAGAGGAGGGTGGTAAAGGGTTATTTTCTTGCAACGTTTTAGGCCGTTTTATTTTACGTGTATTCGTGTATTGATGTTTTATTTCTCGTTTTCTCGTGTTTGGGTCGATGAGCGTGCTTCGTGTTTCTCCTTATTTATTTTCCGTGTTTCATGTCAGTACTCTTACTTTCTCCTGTTTGTCCCACATTTGATTAAAAAGTAAACTGGGACAAATTCAAAGTCAGCCCAGATATTGTTTTAAATTATGTATTAATGATGAACTCACCTGTTCCCAGGATATTAATTGCTCTCTTCATTAATAGCCTATAAGTACTTAAATAACAGTATCAATAAGTTGAAATGGAGGAAAATTCAAAACACATTGTTGAATGCATTATTATACTTTGATGTCCATTAATAATGACTGCATGATCTCCAAGAACGGCTGAGAAATAACTTCTAGTACTTTTTCCTTAATATTTACAATTTTATTTCTCTGCTTCGTTTTCCCTGATTTTTATTTTCCATGCAATGTTTTTGCGATTTTAATTTCACGTGTTTCCATGTTCAGACCCCCCCTTTTCCACCCTTGAAGAAGACAAACACAAAAACTTATAGAATATTGAATAAATATGGAATTAGAAAATATTTTTCTTGATGAACAGGATCACAAAATTATGTATACACGTATGTATGCATGTAAATTATAACCATAAATTTATAATCTACATTTAAAAGACCTGAATCTAACATGCAAAGGGTTCCACTTTTATAATGTTATAAACCGGGTGTTTAAAAAATTCTGGATTAAACTGTATAACAATGTTAACCATATTTTAAATTTTTTTTAAATCTCTCCATCATAAAAAAATTTTCCTTGTCAATAATTTACATCAGCTAATCTTATTTCTTTGCTTCAAAATATTTTAATCATATCAAACTTTCTTTCAAATGCAAACGAAACGATCATCAGCGCTATAAAAATGCCCTGAATTATAATAAAATGATATGAAAACAAAACTTTCCTACCTACATAAGACACAACTAAATAACAAAGGTTATTTAACAAAGGTGATTCTCTAACAACAAACAATGTATCATATACAGATTGCTACACTTCATCAAACAATTTAAGTTAATTGCAGTTATTTCTTACTCTGATATCTTTCATCCGTTGGAATTTCACTGGTACAATTATTCTGCAATTACATACACTAATATACAAAAAAAAAAAAAAAAGTAGCAGTTCATTCCCATAAATGGATAATAATTTAAAACATAATATGTAATTCTTAAATATATATAAATATTGAGACAAAATAGCACTACTAAATGATAATAAAAATCAGCTACATTTACAGGTTAATGTGTATATTGGTCAAATGGTTTTATTTAAAGGTTGCTCAACAATCAGAACATTTAAATCAATATTTGACTTCAAATTATATAGATAAAAGCAGTTTAGAAATGCAAACAATGAATATTTCTTAATAAGATTGTGATTTATAACATATTTTTTTTAAATATTGACAACATTAACATGACAACTATTAAGTACATTTTTGCTTTGATCTGCATGTATAGTGTGAAGTTAAATCTGATCAAAGCATAGACAAGGAACAATCAGGTGCATTTTTCAAAATGTAAATGTTTTCCTATTTTGTTTAAAATTGGGCCTTTCATTTCAGTTGAGAGTAAACTTTACAAGACTGAAAGCTTTTCAAAGTTTGTCAACTTGGAGAAATAAAATCAGAGAACATTTTTTATGAACTATAATCTTTTTGCCTGAAAATGTAATAATAATATTTATATTAAAAAAAAAATCGTAAGGGTTCCGCGGAACCCAGTGTCTCGCCTACTTTTTGCTGTTAATCACAGGCTCAGCAAAAATGAGGAAAAAAATTAATAAATATATTCCTCTCTATACTATCTTTTGATTGTAAGTAGCTTCTGTCCAAGTTTGGTAAAAATCCAGGATAGTTTATGAATCTAATAAATGTTTTAAAAACTTAAACTGCAGACTGTATGTAATGTTAACTGGAAGAAAAACTAAGTCCATTTATAAGTAAAATACGGAAAAAATGGAACAAAATTTCCTTCTAGATACTAGCTTTTAATCATAAACAAGCTTCTGTCTAAGTTTGGTACAAATCCAGGATAGTTTAAGAAAGTTGTTCAAATTTTAAAAACTTTAACCACAGAGTGAATGTAATGTTAACTGGCAGAAAAACTAAGTCCATTTATAAGTAAAATACGGAAAAAATGGATTTTTTTTTTTACAAAATTTACTTCTGGATACTAGCTTTTAATCATAAACAAGCTTCTGTCCAAGTTTGGTACAAATCCAGGATAGTTTAAGAAAGTTGTTAAAATTTTAAAATCTTTAACCACAGAGTGAATGTAATGTTAACTGGCAGAAAAACTAAGTCCATTTATAAGTAAAATACGGAAAAAATGGAATTTTTTTTTACAAAATTTACTTCTGGATACTATCTTATGATCATAAACAAGCTTCTTTCCAAGTTTGGTAGAAATCCAGGATAGTTTAAGAAAGTTATTAAAATTTCAAAAACTTTAACCACAGAGTGAATGTAATGTTTCCTGGCAGAAAAACTAAGTCCATTTATAAGTAAAATACGGAAAAAATGGAATTTTTTTTTTACAAAATTTACTTTTGAATATTATCTTATGATCATAAACAAGCTTCTGTCCAAGTTTGGTAGAAATCCAGGATAGTTTAAGAAAGTTATTAAAATTTCAAAAACTTTAACCACAGAGTGAATATTTGTGGACGCCGCCGCCGCCGACGCCAACGGAATGTAGGATCGCTATGTCTCGCTTTTTCGACAAAAGTCGAAGGCTCGACAAAAAGTTCTAAAAATTTCTGAGGAAAATGTTGTTCCTGTTTTTTATTAGAATGTAGGAATTCAGTAAAAATAATCATTTAATTCAAAAGAAGTTAAAAAATGCCACTTATCATATCAAGTCTCTGTTCTTCGAGCAAAATGTGTTCCCTCTCAAACAGGTTTTCAGTATTAATTCTTCATGGATAAATTATACTTGAAAATATTTCTTTCCAAAGTGACCTTCAGAGTTTGATAACAGTTTTTTTTTAATTTGTATACCATGTACATGTACAACATTTTTGTACAATAACATTTGGGATAAATAAAAGGAAATGGTATTTCTGACAGACATCATTATTTCGTTTTTCACTTGTTCACTTTGTTTTCGTTTTAATAACTATGAGTTGATGTCGCTTTCATATAGGCACATTGAACTTAAACTACACATTGTTATGATTTGACTGGCTGTGCACGAAATTATCGATCACATTGCTGTAGTTTTACAATATTTTTAACAATTGGTAAAATAAATCAGATTTCTATTCTACACCTATATATTATTTTTATTAACAGCAACCACTCCCTTCTGGTTCACCCTCTACGACATGGAATGGTTCTTTCGGTGGTCTAGAAAATCCGTGTTTCACACCATCCCAACCTTCTTCTACATGTAATTTGTCATCTTGTATCAGTTTATGTATTTCACGGGCTAATAAAAGAAACGCTTCCTCCACATTCTGTCCATTTCTAGCAGATGTCTCAATATATCTTAGTCCATTACTCTCCGCAAACATTTTACCTTCTCTAGTTGTGACTTGTCGTTCATCATCTCTATCAGATTTGTGACCAACAATTAAGTACACACCTTTATGTGGTTCTGTCTGTTCCCTTGACTCTTTTAACCATTGAGTAATATTCTCAAAGCTTTTTCTTTTAGTTATGTCAAATACGATTAAAATCCCCACTGAATTCCTATAGTAAGATCTTGTAATGGACCTGTAAGTGAACATATAAGTGTATATGAGCATTTTTCATTTGGCAATGTTTCCTTTTTACATACTGGTACTTTTGAAGTTCTTCTTTAAATACAATAAACATTTACATTAATAAATGAAAACTAGGAAACAAATATCATAGCCAACACAAGAACCAATTGCCTGGCTTCTTTAATTTTTTTTTTTATTATTATTTATAAATGATATATACTTGGTTAATAATACAGTTTTTATCACAACCTTTATTATTTAACATTTAACAAATGCATGTGGAACATTTTTAATATTATCACTGAGGCCATAAACAGGGGCTGCTCTGGCTCCCAAAAAAAGGTGGAGCCAGAAAAATCCCAAGCTGCTATATTTTTTCGCCAGTTTGGAAAACTTGTAGCAAACTTCAGAGTCAGATTGAGTCTTAATTTCCTCTTTTCAAATTGAAACATAGATCAGCCTTAATTTCTTATACACTTTACATCATTTAGCTTTAAGGGATGATTTGTCGTGTAATGTATAGCACGGTTATTTCATGTTTTTTCTTCTTTTCTTTGATAGAAAAATATAACAGGTTCACTGACACTGTTGTCTGAAGTTGTGGAACAAAAGCCAAATGCAGATAACTTTGTCAACTTTGACTGAGGTTGAATTTTGAAAATTTTATTTTTGCTTTCCTATTTATAAAAAGATGTATACAGTTTTAATAAGGAGTAATCTGTTTCAAAGGAGTTGCATTCACAAGGTGTCATTGTGCTACCAGACTAAAAATTGGTCACATTTCAATTAGTCCTGCAAAATTGTCAAATCAAAATGCCAGTATTAATACTATGGCCAATACACAAAATGACACAATCCTAATGGTCTGAGAAGTTGTGTTCAGTTCAAGGTGTTATTGTGTGACAATGATAAAAAAAAATATGACCAAGTCCCATTTCTCCGATAAAAATTGACAGCATGTATAAGTATGGCCAAGAGAATATATGTTGACAAACTAATCTAGTTTTATACCAAGTATGAAAGCTTTCTGCAGTGTTCTAACCCAATAAGCTAAAGAAGTTTACAAGCTCTACTCTAGCAGCCTAGCTCTATAAAAAACTTTACTATGGGAATTTAAATTTATTATTTAGAAAGAGATTGATTTACTCCTTCTTTGAAAAAAAACTAATAAATAATAATTCAGTTATTTAACAACAAAATAATGGCAGTATCCATATGGACCATGTGCACTGCATCACAAAATTATGCAGCCATGATGAATAAATTATTGCATCAATTTACGCATTATGCAACACCAACCTACTAACGTCTTTCATACTCTTAATTGATAAATTACCTAAATCGTTCTTGTCCAGCAGTATCCCAAAGCTGTAGTTTTACCCGGACACCAGGATTCACTTCAATCAAACGTGCATAAAAATCAACCCCAACAGTTGGATCACATGCGTCTGAAAATTTCCCATCTGTGAAGTATTTCAACAATGACGATTTACCAACGGTACTGTCTCCGATCAGTATAACTCTGAACTGAAAATCGAATATTGGCTCTACCATATTTTCTAGCGAATTACTTGTTTTTAAAAGAATCAAGTTAACATTCTAGATAAGATAAGTTTGTTTACATTTTCTGATCAGCTTCCGGTTTCTCTTTTAAAATGACAGATGTTAAATAGTGTTTGATTGGACTTCTTCGAGGAAATTATACCAATCAAAACTCATTTTTTATGGAAGTTAAATTGAGGCTCCAACTGGGGTTTAAATTATTTCAGTATCGATGTCTCTTTCATTGTTAATTTAATTGTATCAGCTAATCTTTAATTATTTTAAATGTAGGCTAGCAATCTTTCATTATTATTTAAACTACAACTGTTGATTTGTGAAATATTACCAAATATAAAACATGATTCATGAAAATCTGGGACTAATACATTGAATATTAAATTTAGTCCCAGATGAAAATGAAAGATTTTTACAATCATGTTTAAAAGGTCGAAAAAAGTAATAATATAAAAGAGAGAAAAAAGTCATATAGTTTTTATGGATACTCGGCCAGGGAATATAAACTTAAAATTTGTTCAGTCTTTGCTTACCAACTTGTATATTTAATAATGTTTTTTAAAATAGCTGGGACTATTATACCGTTAGTTTAGGTAGCAACCACTTAACTTCAAGGGTTTTATGGTTTTATGATTTTTTTGTCTGAGTCAGATTTTTTTTTCGTGCAAAGGGCGAATATTTTTTTTTAGTTTTTTTGACGCGATCAATCAAATTATTTTTTTTTAAAATTTAACACTATAAGGTATAGGGAAAATGTGGATTCAGAATAATTTTTTTTGTCCTCTGCTTTACCACAATATTTTGGTTCATCAAATTGGGGATCAGAATATTTTTTTAGGAGTTATTGTTATGTGTTTGAAAATCGTGATTGTTGTTTTAACTAGCTTTGATGTAAACTCTGAATGTAGTTAGCATGTATTTAGCTTGGTATGAGTAAAAACAATGAAGAAAATCACTTCATTTTGAAACAATGAACAAAAAATATATTTACAGCAACACAGTAACCAAAAAACGATTGACAAATTATTTAACACAAAACCAATAAAAAGGGTGCGAATGTGTAGAGTTAATAGATCAAGGGGCCCACATGTTAATACGATTATTTGTTCAATTTCATTTATCACAATTTACCTGTAAATGGCTGTTTTTTTGGGGCATGACTTTCTCTGTTCAAAAATTGGTCTTCTATTTTTCGTACCCATGTCTGAGGGTCGTAATGTGGGTACCTTATTGATGAATAATGGTAAACAAATCTTGCCAATTGACATAAAAGGTAATTTTTAGGTGCATGACCAGTGACAGATCCAGGATTTTAGGTAAAGGGGGGGGGGGGGGGGGTGCAAACTTAAATTTTTGCCGAGCGGAGCGAGGGGAAAATATTTTTGAGGTAAAATTATTCTTTATTAAGCTGAGGACAACCCATGCTTTGCAAATTCTAGAGGGGGCGCATGCTCACCACGCCCCCACCTGAATCGGCCCCTGATGACAAAATGTATTTCTGCCTATAAAATAATTGACTGATTTTGACGATTTATGTTCAATTTTTTCCAAAAATAAAGGATAATTATTTGAGACCTCTCACAAATCATGATAAGGATATTTTGACGAATCACGATAGAATTTGAAACCAATTTGATGCTAACGGTAGCCAAAAATGACCGTTTGACGCCTGATGGTAAACGGCATTCCTACCCTCAGGTCTCTTAGAATTGCATATTAATATTGATTAAAATTGTATGACATTGAAGGCAAATGATTGCTTGGTGACATTAAGGTAATTTTCATTTTCATAATTTCATAATTAAGCTTTTATAATGGTACTCAAAGTTGGAGAATATTTACTTTTCTAGGCAAATTATTCTAAGATAGCTACCATTTGAATTTTAGGGGGGGGGGGGGCTAGGATGAAATTTGAAAAAAAAGGCTGGACAGGAGTTTGAGTATAAAAAAAAAGGCAGGATGACAATTTATGTAAAAAAGTCAGAATGAACTTATAAAAAAAAAGGCAGGACCGAATAGAGTGAAAAATAAAAATGCAGGATGCAAGACAGAGGTTACAACTAAAAAATAAATGCAGGACAAAATTTTTCATCCTACCCCACCATAAAAATCAAATAGTAGCTATCTAAGCTGGTGGATTAATGTGCATATTTTCCTATATCATGTAAAGGTCAATAAGAATATAACAATAGACTAAAAAAGATTTTCAATTTAGAGAAGATTCATTCATAAACTAGACGAAGTGATGCCCCCGCACTCCACTCTTAATTATCTGTATTATAACAAAATCAATGTAGGACTTTCTTTGAGATATTATTGTGTCTGGGAGACACAACTTTACCCCCACAGATGCAAAGTGTTATTTTAAAATACACAAACTTGAGCATGGGAGCACATAGGTCTATAGTTCACTGTAGGAGTTATCCAGAAACTCTATGCACCTCTTATGGGAGTATATACTCCAAAATGACAAAGTTCAACTATCTCCCAAAAGAGCAAATACTAATAAAATTCAAAACCCTGACCACATGCACACCTTCAATATATGTACAAACAGCCAGCAAAGTGAAAACTTTCTAGCATTCAAACTGCAGGAGGAGTTATGTAGAATAACTATATACCCATAATGGGACGGACAGAAGGACGGATGGACGGAAGGACAGACGGATGGAAGGATGGACGGACTGACAGGGGTAAAACAATATGCCCCCCAACTTTTAGTTGCAGGGGCATAAAAAATGGAATTGCTGCTGTGCTGTGCTACATACACAAGAGTGCCCACACTAAAATGTCTCGCCTGCTTTACCGTGATTGAATTTATGTTGATAGTCCTAAAGACAAAGTTGAACTTCATGTATCACATAAACTTTATGTTATCAATGATCCATGAAAATGAGGTCAGTCAGATAAACCAAGACGGACAGAAATGTAAACATTGGAATCATTTACATACACCATTGTCCAAATATAGTTGAACTATTGCTCATAGTACTGGTATCTATGAAACAGACTTAAACAGGAAAACTTAACATTGACCAATGAAACATGAAAATGAGGTCGAGGTAAGTTGATACCTGTTAGACAGACATGTACACCTAACAATCATTCCATACACCAAATATAGTTGACATATTGCTTTTAAACATTTAAGTACCGTAATATAATTATTTTAAGGAGCATTTTGGATTTTAAATCAGCAAGAAAATAACAAGTTTTCTAGGGGCACATATGTGAATCAGTTATATCATATTAGCTTTTGAAAAAAATCTACATCTCTAGGGATCAAACAAGCTATAGTGTATATTCCCGCCAAGTTGAGTTCATGATCTAGCTCAGTGTTGTATCAGAAGCTGTTCACATACAAAAAGTTTGACGATGCCAAGAGAAAAAATGAAAAAATTTCAAAGTGTCGAAAAAGAAACACAAATCATTTGACATCAATCTTACCTAAATTGAAAAACAGACAAAAATAGTAACAACTTATACAACCAGAAACAAACATAATACTTTCTTCTCCATTCATTAGATCTATATATCCCACCTTAAAATATACCATTGAAGTTACTGTAGATTCCTTATTATTTGTAGGGTACCTATTTTCATGGATTTCGTGGGTAAAGATAAACCACCAATTTAAATGTTCAACGAAGTATAAATTTAGCAAAAGGTTTGTGGACCATTTTATGCAGAAAATGATAAGTTTTTTCTGGCATTTTCCCGGTATGCCATGCTTATGAAATTCACATCATTCCTTCAAGCCCAAACTTCTATTTTGTGAATACTTGTAGACTTTATAGTAATTTGGCAAGGGAGGGGGCTATGGACCGCTCAAAGTCCCCAGCTGGTCCAGGGTAGCACCCTAGTCATGGATTCAGGGCAGCACCCTAGACGGTGGTCCAGGAAAGCGAATTCCTCGGAAGCTCCAGGCATATGAGTAATTACAGTGACTGCTTTGAACATGAAAAATACCCTATCTGTTTCTTACTATACCAGATTTTCATGAAAAGATAGTAAAATTTTAGTGAGTTCAGTAATTTGCTGCATATATTATAACATGGTTACTTTCAAATATAAAATAAATTTTATAAAACGGGGAGATCAGGAAGAGTCGACAACCGAAGCGTTAATCAATAGAAGGGCAAAGCCAATCAGTGGACACATGACAAACCCGGGACCAGATAAGACACAAAAGGACAAACAAGAACATTCAACTTTGAAAACTAAATACAGATGGAAAACACGGACCCTGAAAAAAATGTGGTGACCTCCGGTGCTCCGAAAGGGTAAGCAGGTCCTTCTTCTTGCAAGACACCCGTAGTGTTTCTCACGAAGGTCATTTTCAAATCAAAAGAGAGGTTTCTACGACAAACGTAGAAGGTCATTTGGGACACAGATACCCCATGTGAATTAATGGTCTTTTGGACAAACATACAATGGGAATATGAAATTGAACGGCCACTTTTAAGTCTTGACTTATAAGTAAGGGATCATATAAATCTAAGATGTTTTCAAGGTGATTGTATTGAGCCTGTATTATTAAATGTTAATACTGCACGTGAGACTTAAAGGCTTGTGAAAATGAAGACCTTTGTGTTTATGTGGAAAATGTAAATTCTTGGTATATGTAGAACCGAAGCCAACTAAGTTACTACAGGAAGGGGGTGGGGTATTACCCCCGTTAATATATCTCAACATCTAAAAGTCAAATTGTTTTTTTTTCATATTCTAATTACCTAGATGGGAAAGAGTAGTTTCCATACAAGTTTGGCTCCCATTCATGCTGCAGTAGGTTGACTTTTGTTTCATGTTTTGACAACTCATCATTTGTCAGGTTAGACATATCAGGATAAGGGGGGTCAAACAATGTTATTTTTCTTTGCAGTAACGTCTTGTAAACTCGACGTACATGGCTCATTTACATCTTTGCTAGGCATACTAGATATAACATTATGGCTTTGTTATCCGCTGCCCTCTTGTTAAAATAAAAATCTAGCTTCTTCATCTTTATTTTGATTTCTACGGGGGTTAAACTTTGTGATGTGATAATGTAGTTGCAAGTACAAACACCGCCCGACACGATAATCCGTAAAGACTAAAGACTATCCGTATTTCAATTTCAGATTTATTTATTTATTTTTTATTGAAAAAAATGTGCAAGCATATGATTTTTTGTGTAAAGGCAGCTACGCGCCTGAAAGTCTTGTAAAAGAATACAGCTGTGCAAAATTGGTTAATTCTGTTAAGTCATTTAGAAGGAGTTACCAATTAACCAAGTGTGACACGGACAACTACACAAGAAAACAGAAGTGATCCCTATGTGTCATTGCAGCTGGATGCTGTCAGGCAACACTAGAGACTCCCACAAGATGACAGAAGTAATACCTGTGTGTCATTGCAGCTGGATGCTGTCAGGCAACACTAGAGACTCCCACAAGAAGACAGAAGTGATCCCTATGTGTCATTGCAGCTGGATGCTGTCAGGCAACACTAGAGACTCCCACAAGATGACAGAAGTGATCCCTATGTGTCATTGCAGCTGGATGCTGTCAGGCAACACTAGAGACTCCCACAAGATGACAGAAGTAATACCTGTGTGTCATTGCAGCTGGATGCTGTCAGGCAACACTAGAGACTCCCACAAGATGACAGAAGTAATACCTGTGTGTCATTGCAGCTGGATGCTGTCAGGTCACAATAGAGACTCCCATAAGATAACAGGAGTGATCCCTGTGTGTCACTGCAGCTGAATGCTGTCAGGCCACACAACTAGAGACTCCTGCAAAATGTCAGAAGTGATGCCTCTGACATCACTCATTTACTGTAACCTGACCTTTATAAAATAACAATAATAAGCAAAATATAATTCAATTTTTTATCTTATTTCTTTTAACTTTTCAATAAATGGCAATTACATTTTATAAAAAATCTACTTCTATACCTATCTATATAACAGTGTTTTGACACAAATCATTTGACATCCATCTTACCTAAATATATAAAACAGACAAAAATAGTAACAACTTATACAACCAGAAACAAACATAATACTTTCTTCTCCATTCATTAGATCTATATATCCCACCTTAAAATATACCATTGAAGTTACTGTAGATTCCTTATTATTTGTAGGGTACCAATTTTCATGGATTTCGTGGGTAAAGATAAACCACCAATTTCAATGTTCAACAAAGTATAAATTTAGCAAAAGGTTGTATGCAAACTTTGAAACAACCATGAAATAAAGTATTTAATGAAAATATGATTTTTCTTCAATCAATGAAAATTGGTAGCTATGAAAATAAATAAATAAATCCACAGTATCAGATAACAGACTGGCACACCTGGTTGTTCTTTGACTACCTGTTTAAAAAATATGAGTGGGAAATTTTTGCTTAGTTCGCATTACCATAAGATAAAATCATGAAATTTTTCCATCATGTAAATTTGATTTTTGCTAATTTTCCATCAAGACAAAATTGTGAAATATTTCCATTGTGTAAATTTGATAAGGGTAAAATTAGAATCAGGGACAAGAAATACAAAAAAAAAAAGCAACTCCAACACAGTTTCAGCCTTAGAAATCATACCGTTTTAATTCTATGAAAATAAATACATATTACAGTACTGTTATCTATGACTAATTGGGAGATGTTCCATTCAGTTACATTTTATGTTGCTTGAAAGTATATTTGTCAAATTATCAAAAGGAAAAATATAAATTTTAGAGCAAGTGGCCAAGAGTACAATCTATTGATGTAGATCTTTGATCAGATAAAAAAACTTTCAATGGCATTTTAAGATGCAGTGTATAATAATTATACAGGGAGATTCTGTAAGAATGATAATTACTTTCCTTTTTCATAGCTGAACACCCTTTTAAATCTAGTTCACTAATTTGAATCTACAACACTACAAAGAATGCAATGCCGCTTTCTTCCTAATGTTAGCATTAAGCAGGAGAACAATTTAACCATCTTCCAATGTTAAATGAATATTTTGGATAACTGTTACTTCAGTTATGCTTTATGACCCTTTTCCAGCTCATTATATTTAGATTCTCTGAAACCAGTTTAGAGCTGAATGTTATAATGGCTGAAGAAATATATTCTGATCTCTTTACATGTGTGATTCATAAGTACATTTACAGGATGTTACTTAAAAGGGAGATGTTAAAAAACATATGCTATGTTTCAAATTATCTCCCTTGCTGATGTACATACTTGAATTAATGGTACATTGTATGTAATTATGATAAATTAACTTTTGATTCATATTTTTGTTCTACATTTCAATGAAACATTACTACTCTATCTTTCTTTGTTTAAAATAGTGTTTTTAGGTTCACTGTAGGACATTTGTTTGCACAATTACAGAACCATCAAGTTGTTTAAAAAGTATTACATTGGTACAATAAAAATATAAATATCATAATTATTTAAATAATTTCTTATCAACAGCATATTTGTAAGAAGCTACTTCTATATGCAGGACTTCAGTTATCAAAAATTTTAAATTAAAATTTGTATTATATCTCTTAAAATGTGTACCCCAAAAAATTGGTTGTTTGAATGAAAATATTGTGTAATATATACTAATAACAGAATCTAAAAATCTAGCATCTAACATACATGTGAATGATATGGGGAAAAACTTGGCACAAGATCTGATCAGTATACAATTGCAATCAAAAGTTCATTCATTCACAAAAACCGACTAGCTTCATACAAGAATCACAACACTTAAACAACAGATCAAAAAGTTCAATAGTAATAAAAACATATATAACATTGTTTTCAGTGTACATGACAAGTTTCTTTAATATCCAACATTAGGTAAATATATATTAAGGTCAACTTTGCCTGAGGGAAATTCAACTAAGTTTCAATACAATTATATAATTTAGTAACAATACAATTATATAATTTAGTAACAATACAATTATATAATTTCCACATCAGAAAGTAAGAAAGAATGTCTCTACATATTCATGCCAATACTGAAGTACTAGAAAGTTTATTTAGGATAATGATGATGAGGGTATTCTTTCTACTTTATGCATTAATGTAGTAAATATAAAATTTATATTGGATGTTTAAGGCTTAATATATGCATTGGTATTCAGAGAATATCTAATGGATGGTTAATGTTGATTTTACTTCTTTCAAATATATAAATGTTTGGCTATTTTTTTTAGAACTTTCATCAAAATTAATTTAGAAAATACAACATGCACACAATTAAAGCTCCATTCCTAGATGTAAGTTCTTAAGATTTTATCTAATAGATCTACAGGCTAAAAATTGTACCTTTTAATTCAGAACAATTTAATGCTGAACAAAATCTTGGTTAAATTTAGTTAAGTTTTAAAAAAGTGATTTAAATTATTTAGCTACTTAATGTCAGTTCAAGAAGAATTATATGAATTAAGCTTGAACGGTGTGGAAATTTAATTACAGAAACACTTGTGAACATATTTTATATTATTTCCTGGTATATAAGTTTGATGACAATGGCAGTGATAATTTAGTGACCAATCATTTAACATAAGTATTAGGATTCTTTACAACCTTTCGATGATAAAATCATGATGTAAAAAAGTACCAATATTAAACATCACAGCACATTTAGATGCAAACTGCCTTTTTTTACAAAAATGTGTCATAAAATGCAGAATAGAGGGGAGATAATTCACAAATTCCACATACTCTAACAGTATTCAGATTTCAAATTCAAAGAAAAATCTATTCTATTATTCTACAGAAGCAGCACAATGCAACTGTTTGGGGTTATTGTTTTTGTTTTAAAATTATATAAAATATATGTTTGTGTTTATAGAGTGTCATATCAATTTTTTATATTACTTCCAGTAACAACCAAATATGTTCATATTACCCTGAAATTTTAACTCTGACGTTTTAATATTGACTGGGTTTATATTGATTGTTATGAAAAGCAATATATTATATGTCATATATATATAATTTATACCCAGAAACCACAGTTTTACTTAATATATGATAAATACAGTTATTATGAACATAACAGAATAGTTTTTCTGAACTGGTTTCTGATATGAAATAGATTATTACATCAAAAAAAAATTCAACAAAATTTCTTTCATACTAGAACAATGTGCTCCTTTAGCTATTTACCAATTTCCTTAAATTATCCAATCATTTTCTCAGGAAATGATACTGATGACTAACAATGACAAGTAATGATACAATGACAACAGATCACAAGAATGACGGCAAGGTGTGCACATATTTCAAAATGTTTTGTGCATACAGAAACAGAGAGAACCCGTTACAAGAGAGTGCTAGCACAATAAAAGATTGTGAAAACTGTAGGATCTTACTTATACCTCATGTTCTTTTGGACAATAACAAATCTTAACCCATGACTTTACTAACTTATAAACGATGAGTCTTCATATTGCAATATGGCACAGGATCTTATTTGAATAAGATTAATAGGTGTAAGCAAAACATAATGGTCAGTTTGAAGAACATTCCTAAGAATAAACCTGTTAGTTGACAGCACTTTTTCAAATGAAAAGATAATCTGACCCTTCCATTTTCAAGAGATGTTAATAGTGACATAAAATGTATTATGTGAAATTAAAATTTTTACATGGTAAAACATTGAATGTATAGAAAGATTTTTTGATAGTTTTAAGTACCACTTGTACATTTTTCATTGATTCTTAACAACAGAATATGAAGAATTCTTAAGTGCTGAGAGGTATAAATAAGTCCTAACAAAAATAAATGTCAACCTGACAAAGTTATATCATGTGACAACCTGGCAAAGTTATATCATGTGACAACCTGGTAAAGTTATATCATGTGACAACCTGGCAAAGTTATATCATGTGACAACCTGGCAAAGTTGTATCATGTGACAACCTGGCAAAGTTATATCATGTGACAACCTGGCAAAGTTATATCATGTGACAACCTGGCAAAGTTTTATCATGTGACAAAATCAATTTGACACATGATAACATTGCCCACCTTTCCCCGGAATAAATAAATAAATATTCAACAACAATAAGTATTATCCTAGTCTCAGCTTGCTGTTTGTTTCTGTTCATCAGAATTTCCTGTGGAATCTAAACCACTATCTACTTCATTGTCCTTTTTATCTGTTTCTAATTCAAAGTTCTGAAAGATAACATTAAACATATTTTATTTCCTATTCAGAACCCTTTTGGGAATACAGATACTTACATGTAGTAAGATAGAAAGATCCAAATAAAGATAATAAACTGTTATCACAGAGATATGTCTCGCCTTTTTGTAATTTTGATAATGCAAATGTTGAAATTAAAATAGCAATACTTTAACATGTAAGTTATGCAAATATTCAAAGTCGATGAACCATGACTGAAGGTACATGGCTAAGCAATCTCCATGGAATGAGAAGTGCCAATGCTAATACAACTGCATACCAAATACCATTGACTTATCATAAGTCGTTCCCTTTAAACAAACCTAAACACAAACATTAACTTGCAAACTATGTAAAAGTTTAAGAGTCAATGAGCCATGATCAGGGGTGGGGGCTATATAATCTCCATGGAAACGATACTTGCAAATGCCAATACATTTGCATACCAAATATCATTGACTTAACATTAGCAGTTCATCTTAAACTGATATAATCACAAACTAATACATGTAAACTAAGCAAAAGTTTCAAAGTCAATAGACCATGACTGAGGGGGCACGGCCAAATATTCTCCATGGAAATGAGATTTGCTAATGCTTATACAACTGAACACTAATTAACATTGGCCTACCACTAATGGTTCCCCTTGAACTGCCCTTATCACAAACTAATACATGTTAACTTAGCAAAATTTTCAAAGTCTATAGACCATGACTAAGGGGGGCGGAGCCAAATAATCTCCATGGAAATGAGATATGCCAATGCTTATACAACTGCATACCAAATATCATTGACCTACCACTAGTGGTTCCCCATAAATTGACCTAATCGCAAACTAATACATGTAAACTATGAAAAGTTTCAAAGTCAATAGACCTTGACTGAGGGGGCAGGGCCAAATAATCTTCATGGTAATGAGATGTGCCAATGCTAATACAACTGCATACCAAATATCATTGACCTACCACTAGTGGTTCACCTTGAACTAGACCTAATCACAAACTAATACATTGTTGATGCCGTCGCCGTCAGCGCCACCAGAAACAGCATACCTATGTCTCGCTTTTTGACTCCGTCAAGGCGAGACAACAATTAGATAAACTATGTTCTGACACATGATATCATATGAACAATTATATTGAAAGGGTTATTTTAAAATACAGTTTAAATCCTTTGTGCTTTCTTTCAGTACTGTAAGGATTTTTTTAAATGATATTGTTAATCATTGTTTTGTAATGGATATCTTTTGATTTGTAAAGTTAGGTCGCTTTCTCACTGATGTATGTGCCATATCTTCTTTAATCCATGAGATTTATTTATGGAACTTGGATATTGATGAGAATTTTCATTAATGACTTGGAGACTTGAATAGAGCACAAGCTTCTCACTTTTTTGTGCCCACTTCTTCTCTAGTAAGTTAGTAAACAGAGAATTTTTCAAAAAAATTTCTTGTGAAAAACCTGTCAGACATGCAATGGAAATAGTTGTATATGGCTTCAATTACAACTACGAAATTTGACAGAAGTCACTGCATTACAGTTATACAATCAAGAAAAGCTTCTCTTATTTTTCAATTAAACTATATGCTTTATGCAAAAATGATATAAAGTCAAGTGTATGTATTTGATTATCTTTGATAAATTTAACTACTGTAAATTCAGAAATTATCGCATTCTGATATCTGATAAATATATTCGTACGCATATTTTCCTAAAAACGCAATAATTCCTCTCGCATTTATGTCCATTCTTCAAAAATCACAATAATAAATGCACTCAATAATTTCTGAATTTACAGTAGTTCCTATACCACTCACATTAAGTCATGGTCTTGTGTACTTGTTTATGACATTAAGACAGGGATCTCGAATTTTTAAAATAGAGGAATTCAATCTGGAAAAGAAGGGGAGGAAGGTGGTTCCTGAAGTCAAATTTGTTGCACATTTTCACATGAATATAAATATTTTCCGACAAAAGACGAGTGAGAACAGCCTGATCCCCCATCTATATGCCTTAATGACTTTAGAAACAAAACGTTACCTCTAATTCTCTCATGATTTCATCCATAAAATCTGTTGAGTTATTTTTATAGGCAACTGCTGCTCGTATAGCATCTTTGAATAACTGAAAAATATTGGTAAAATTTATAATATGCTTTTTATGTAACTGTAACGTAAGAAATAAAAGTAATAAGACATGATGAACAATGATTAAAATCAATGTTTAATTTGAAAAACTCTGGTGACAACAATCCATAATGCGGTACCAGAATTTACCAATTTTTATAAATCAATGTATACATCTGATTTAAATTCTTTTCTCCTAGAACAAAGTTTGTCTTTTTATAAAAAAACACAATTTATTTCCTTGAAACAACATAGGTGAAAGATGAAAATAATTATACATTACGCAAATATAAACATGCCTATATGGACTGAATTTTGTAATTCATTCTATATATGTAATCTATTTTGAAATATTAAGAATGACTCAATACTATCTGAATTAGAATTGTAATGGTATCTTCTTTTATTCATATTTATGAGTAACTTTATCATTATTAAAATCTTACCCTCACTACATTTGTTCCATCTGATGCAGAACAAAAATAAAATGGCATGTTGTGTTTCTTGGCAAAATTAAATGATTTTGTAGTCACTGACACATCAACTGAAAACACAATCAGAAATTATAATGACTGTTAGAAAGAACAACACTGAAGAGATTACTGCTGTAATTTAGATTAATTTGTAAAATAGAAAGTGAAAGTATGGTAGTTATGAAAGTAAACTTGAACAATAATGTTAAATAAAATGTAATTGTCATCAAAATTAAAAAGTTTGTCGAAAATTGTTCTGCAAAATCTACATGTAACTTGCTGAAAAATAAAATAAGGAAGAATGAAAGTGTGTCACCTTACATAATGGATCTAAATACATTATAATCAGCTTTTGTCAGATTTTATAAAAAAAATTGGAACTTGTTTTGAAACCAAATCTATTTTATATACAAACATTGGATCTTAATAAATACATACTAAGATAAGATAATAGAAGAATGAGTGGATGGGAAACCGATGCCTTGTTTGTAAATATACATTTAATTTTTCCATTTAGAAAGAGACATAACTCGAGAACAGTGAATGTGACACCACCCAAATTCAAATGTGATCTCTGTTAGGTGCTACTAAGCATTGTGTTTATGTCTCAGAACATTTGTTGTGGTAAAAGTAAAGTTTAAGTATGGAAACAGTAAATTCAGCAATTTTCCTATTTATAAAGGGACATAACTTGAGAATGCTGAAAGTAACGCAACCAAAATTTCAAACTTGATTTGTGTTGGTGTAATAAGCATTGTGTTTTAATTTTTATAACATTAGGTTGAAAAAAGTAAAGTTAGAGTGCAGAAACAGCAAATTTAGCAATTTTTCTATTTACAAAGGGACATAACTCGAGAATTGTAAATGTGACACAACCCAAATTTGATCTTGATCTGTGTTTAGTGGAAATAATCATTGTGTATAAGGTTCATAACATTTGGTTAGGGCAATTTTTCCAAGAAGGATTTTGAAATATACTCAAGTTAACCAAGATTTTGAAATCAACCAATTCAACTGAATATCAGAGTTATAATTCATTTTTCAAACAGAAATTATCAAATGAGGTTCCACTGTATTGCACAATTCATAGTGTTTTGATGTAGTTCATACAGAGAAAAACATGTTTTTGCTTTAAAATAAAAGACTTAATATACACATATGTACGTTTCGGCAATAAAGTGTATCGACAAGTAGTAGGTATACCTATGGGCACTAACTGCGCCCCTTTAATAGCAGATTTATTCCTGTATTGCTATGAATCTCATTTTATGACCAAACTCAGTAAAGACACGTCATTGTTACATTTGGTTGATAGATTCAACAATACCTTCCATTATCTAGATGATATTTTTTCGTTAAATAATCCAGAGTTCTCTAAATATACTACCGAAATTTACCCAATAGAACTTAATTTAACTAAATCTAACATAAACAGCAGTAGTTGTCCTTTTCTGGATTTGGACATTTTTATCTCTAAAGGAAAACTCCATACGAAAATTTAAGACAAAAAAGACGATTTTTCATTCCCTATTGTTAATTTTCCTTTTTTAGACGGCGATGTTCCTTTGGCTCCATCATACGGTGTTTATATATCCCAACTCGTTCATTATGCCCGTGTGTGTAGTGATGTCATAGATTTTAACGAACGTAATCAATGCATCACTGGTAAATTATTAAGTCAGGGATTTCGTTACCATAAATTGCGTAAAACTTTTGCTAAGTTCTTTCATAGATACAAAGATTTGATTAGTAAATTTGGCTGTATTTGAAGAAAACTGATTAAAATCGGTATTTCACATCCTAAATTTTACGGTAATATTGTACTTAAAGCGCGGAAATCACTATGTGATCCGAGTAAACTCATTGAACCTTTAAACAAACTTATTAGTAAAGGTTATCTTACCAATGTTGTAATCAGATCTTTGAATATAGTTTACATTGGCACTAATATCGATTTTGTCATCAGCAAATTGAAACATAACTAAATTTGTATTCTTTTCAAACAGGATGTATAAAGACACACCCACGTTCGTTTTGATCTATAAAGAGGTTAAACTCCTAACTATCCTACTGTCTGTCGATACATTTATTTTTGGCATTGCACTAGTCATGTCTTCTTTGACTGTCCATGACGTTAAAATACTAAATCCCTGGGATGTGTTTTAGTTGATTTTAGTCTCTGATGCATGATTTTTTATTATAAATTGTTTTGGCTTTTAACTAGCTGTCAGTAACTGCGAGTACTCTCAAATCGTACTTTCTTGTTTATTTGACCTGTTGATACTAATTGTATTGCTTTTTTGTTATTTAATGTTATTCAGGGTTAAATCTGGTCTATATACCAGCTTTGATAAGTGTTTGATATTACTTTAAATTTTCACTTCGTACTATGAACATCAAAATTATTTATTTTGTAAAAATATTCCCTTTCTCTATTGGAACTGTACACGTATACCTAACAACAAAATTATTTTCATTTACCTGTGTTTAAAGTTATTGCAAATGGCTGATATTTTTGTTCGAGCATATTGTTTTTCTTTAATTGTTTAACATTTCATACCGATATAACATGTTACTTTTATTATTCTTCCCTTAATTTATCTATTTTGTATTTACATTGTATCATAGGTCAAATTTATTTGTTCAGTGTATGTTCAATGGTGTTAATATGTCCTTTGATTGAGTTAAGCTATTTCAGTTGATATTTTATAGTGTGTCTTTCTATGTTGTGATGTTACGCTATTGTTTCAGAAAAAGGGTGAAGGTTTGGTACCATTAAAACCCCGCTGCATTTGTTTGCACCTGTCCTAAGTCAGGAATCTGATGTTCAGTAGTTGTCGTTTGTTGATGTGGTTCATAAGTGTTTCTCGTTTCGCGTTTTTTATATAGATTAGACCGTTGGCTTTCCCGTTTGAATGGTTTTAACACTAGTAATTTTTGGGGCCCTTTATAGCTTACTGTCGGTGTGAGCCAATGCTCAGTGTTGAAGACCGTAATGTGACCTATAATGGTTTACTTTTATAAATTTTGACTTGGATGGAGAGTTGTCTCATTGGCACTCATACCACATCTTCTTATATCTAAGTAGGGTTTGTCAGGTTTTTGTCTTGAATCTATAAAAAAAATACTCTGAATTACTGAAGCATTAGCTGTTTCCATGTTATTTTTTATCATCTTAAATATATAAGCTCCAATTCATGACAGAGTTTGCAGTCATAGTGACTATAAAAGTTTATAGAACAAAAGTATGTATATATGAAACAAATTTACCATCTATTTTATTGGCAGCACATAAACAAGGTATTTCAGGTCTATACTCTCGTAATTCTTTTAACCAGTTCGGCAGATTCTTATATGTTATTTTTCTTGTTGTATCAAATACCTGAAAGTAAATTTGTTTTTATCATTTTCAATGTATAAAGATATCATCAATACATTTACTGTGTCTCTGGTCAATATATCCTCAATGGCCTGATTATTGTGAATTCAGAAATTATTGTGAGGGTTTTATTAATGCGAATAATGTGACTTGGTGATTATCGCAATAGTAAGAACTCGCATTCTGATCTCTGATACATATATCTCAATGCAGATTTTCCTGAAATCAAAAAATTAATCTAGCATTTTTGTCCATTCTTCAAAAATTGAAATAATAAATGCACGAAATAATTTCTGAATTTACAGTATATCAGAATATGTGAGAATTTGTCAATAACTCCGCAAAGGTCTAAGCTAATTTACATAAATATTTGTGGTACATGTATAGTCTTTCATATCCTACTTCTAAAAAAATAATCTTGCAATTTCATTAGCTGAAAGCAAACCTACATGGATCTGTTTTATGCTACCTACATGTATCAAAAGCAAATGACTAATACACTAGAGACATCTTAGCACTGTTATGTCACATTACAAAATTTAATAAATTGCTTCGCTGAGCGCAGCTGGATAAGAACGCAGAGGTCCAACCCTGAACAGTTGGGGCAAAAATGGACGCAATATTCACGCTTCATACAGGTCTGAATTTGGATTATAATTAAATATTTGACACATAAAAGGTTTCTGACACAGAATCCCCCCACAAAAAAAAAATAAAAAATTTTACCCCCCCTTTTCTTTTGCTTTTGTGCAATACACTATGCTGTTGCGTATTTACCCACCCCCTACACACACTTTTTTTGGGAAAAAAAAAAAAAAAAATTTGAAGAATTTTTCTTTTTAATTTCTGATATCTGAAATGTGAAAAAATTGACCACCCACAATTTCTTTTTACCCCCCCCCCCCCCCCCCCCCCCCCCTTTTTTCCCCCAAAAAATTCTTTCCCTCAAGATATGGTCATAATCTCAATTCAAATTTCCAATGGAGTTTGCAACCATAATTACCTATTTAAATTTACCATAGTGCTAACTTAATCTATTTCATAATAGAATTTAAAATATAGTGTCAAATCTTTCATATGGATTTTTTGGTAAAAAAAAAAGATGCAACATTTGCAGATATTTTTACTGGTCTTCCTTTATAAATATACATTTCTTTAAACATAATTTAAAAGCAGTGTAAGGGAGGTAATCAAAATGTTGTATTTGGATTACCTCCTTTACAATGTTTTAAATTATCTTAATTGTTCATTAACCATTACTTTATACATAATTTAAAAGCAGTGTAAGGGAGGTAATTCAAATGATGTATTTGAAATACCTCCCTTACACTGCTTTAAATAATGTTTTGTACTAAAGTATTTGTCCATTAACCAGGACACCCTTGTTTTTCCCCCTTTTTTGTCCCTAATTCCTAAACGGTTTGAGCAATAACCCCCCAAAGCAAATCCTAACCATCCCTTTGTGGTATGGAAACTTGTGGTATAATTTCAGAGAGATCCATTCACTTAAACTTAAACTTAAGTTATTGTTCGAAAACTAATGTGTCTTCGGACGACAACACCGCCCTTTTATGGGAAAAATCTGGTTGATTATACAGGGAATCACTGAAGCATGACTGAAGTGACCCCCCTCTTAGGCAGTCAGTGGGCCCCCACTTATGAAAATTTCTGGATCCGACACTGCCTAATCACAAACTTTAACAAATTATTTCAAATACACATACTCAGACTAATTCTGAATTTGCACGAAATACCAATACAGACTTAAGACAGATTGGGATCAATATAGCACTAGAAAAGTTTTGTGAAAAAAATACTCACAATTATACAGGCATGGGCTTGATGATAATATGAAGGATGCATGTTGTTAAATCTTTCCTGTCCTGCTGTGTCCCAAAAATCTGCAAATAATTTAGTACAAAGAAATGTAATTCAAATGGAATTCCTTTGTTCCTCTTATATCTGATTGAACTCAAGTAGAAACTGAGACTTCACCAGTTAATTTAAAAGGTCTGAGCTAAATTTCTAAATTGATCTTCTGAAGCCTAAAACAGTCAATCAAAGACAGAAGAAAAAATAATGGGACTTAAATTTAAAAGGACAACAATGATTTGGTAATTTTACACAAATATTATCATAATGTACTAAGAATTCAAATTGTCCACATTTACCCTTTAAGACCACCTAAATTCACCCCTCGTTTTTTGTAGGGTTCGTGTTGCTTAATCTTGATTTTTTCTCATTTTGTGGATTTGTTTGTCTTTTCGTGTTTTTTTTTGTTTTTTGCCATGTCAGTTTCTTTTTTACTTTTGAGTTTTGAATGCCCCCTTGGTATTTTCCTCTATATATAAGATATATATATATATAAAAAAATAACACAATCAAATACCCAACTTATAGTACAATCATAAGGAGTCAGTCTATTGTTGAAGTCACAGGGGCTATTTGTAGATCTTGTATAGATGATTATTTATATCTATAAGGAGTCATCAAATGGGTGGTTATATGGGCATTTTTGTAAATCTGATTTTGCTAATCATTTTTGCTGCTTGCAGTTTCTACCTTTCTATCACAGTTGTAGACAAAAAACCAAAAACTGGAAAATTGGTAAAAAAATCATCAGTTGATTTGAGCATTTTGAGTGAGGGCACTACCTACTAAAAGGAGTCATCAACTAGTTTCAGCCATATTGGTGATTTTGTAGATTTTGTATTACTGATCATTTTTACTGTTTACAGTTTACAGTTTAAACCTAACTATTATAGATTACATGATAAAAGACAAAAACTTGAAAATCAGTCATTTAATCCTAAATCCCATTTGTAATCGTGATTGCAACCGCCATTCTTTTATGGCCCATATGGTCATCCATATTGTTTCAAACTGTCAAAGCTGAACCATGTTGACAACAGGGAGTTCAAGCTAGCAATTCATGGTCCATTAACCCTTTCCTGATATGCTGTTGTGAAAATATGATAACATAATGTCATTCTCAGAGGTTAAAATCTGAAAACTGTGAAAAGTGAGGGTGGGAGTCATTTGGTAGCCACTGTGTTAATGGTATAGATCTTAGGTATTTACTTTTATTCCAAATGCATCAATAACAGTTCAGAAACTCAAGAAAGTTTTATATGGTCAGATAAAAACTGGTTTGTAATATATGTCTGAATATTTTCTGAGAAAAAATCAAGTGTAGACAACAAGAACATATTTATCATTTCATGAAATAAACTTACCAACTGAAACTTTTTCTTTGTTGACTTCTGTTTCATAATTGAATAATGTTAATGCAAAGGTAGATAACTGTTGAGGTTTACTGAAAGTGTTGTTAAGGGCATGAATAATAACTGTACAACTGTGTTACTAATATTTCTGAATAACTTGTATGGTTGTAAAATTTATAAACAACTTGTCTTAGACTCAGGGAAGTTATAAGCTTGAGATACAGGGGGTTATTGATGGGATTTACAGATAAGAGAATAACTGATAAAATTTAAATAACGGGGAAAAAATATAAAGAATAGAGAATAATGGGGTGCTAAAATAAATAAAATGCTCTGCTGGGCGCAGCTTGATACAACCGCAGAGGTCGAACCCTGAACAGTTGGGGCAAGTATGGACACAACATTCAAGCTTGATACAGCACTGAATTTGGACTGTGATTAAATATTTGACACAGCATAGGTTTCTGACACAGAATTTTATATATAAATCAGAAATAACCAATTTAAAATGGAAAATTTTAAAGAAGAAAAAGGAAAAAAAAAATCCCCCCCCCAAAAATTTTTTGAAACCCCTAATGATTCACCACCCCCAAACTCAATCCCAGCCTTTCCTTTGAGGTATGGTACCTTGCAGTACAATTTCAGAGAGATCCATACACTTGAACACAAGTTATTGTCTGGAAGCTAGAAAAATGCTTGTTTTTTGGCCCCAATTCCTAAACGTTTAGGGCAATTAACCAAGCTTTCCCTTTGAGATATGGAACCTTGTAGTACAATTTCATAAAGATCCATACACTTACACACAAGTTGTTGTCCTGAAACTAGAAAAATGCTTGTTTTTTTGCCCCTTTTTGGCCCCTAATTCCTAAAATTTTGAGGCAATTACCCCCAACATCAATCCCAGCCTTCCCTTTGTGGTATGGTACCTTGCAGTACAATTTCAGAGAGATCTATACACTTGAACACAAGTTATTGTCTGGAAACTAGAAAAATGCTTATTTTTGGCCCCTTATTCCTAAACGTTTTGGGCAATTACCCCCAAACTCAATTCCAGCTTTCCCTTTGTGATATGGAACCTTGTAGTACAATTTCATAAAGATCCATACACTTACACACAAGTTATTGTCATGAAACTAGAAAAATGCATGTTTTTGCCCCTTTTTTGGCCCCTAATTCCTAAAATTTTCAGGCAATTACCCCCAAAATCAATCCTAGCATTCCCTTTGTGATATGGAACCTTGTGGTACAATGTCAGAGAGATCCATACACTAACACACAAGTTATGTCTGGAAGTTACAAAAATGCTTATTTTTGGCCCCTTTTTGGCCCCTAATTCCTTAAATGTTAATACCATAACCCCCAAAATCAATCCCAACCTTCCTTTTGTGGTATTGAACCTTATGGTAAAATTTCATAGAATTCCATTCACTTAAACTAAAGTTAGAGTGCGAAAGCCAATGTGTCTTCGGACGACGACGACGACACCAACGTCATACCAATATAGGACCCCAAAATATTTTTGCGGTCGTATAAAAATAAAGTTGGAGAACGGAAACGAAAAATTCAGCAACTTTTCCATTTGTAAAGGAGCATAACTCTAGAACGGTAAAAGTGACGCCACCAAAATTCAAACTTGATCTGTGTTTTGTGGTAATAAGCATTGTGTATAAGTTTCATAACATTTGGTTGAGGAAAACTAAAGTTAGAGAACGGAAACGATAAATTCAGCAATATTTCCATTTGTAAAGGGGCATAACTCTAGAACAGTAAAAATGACGCCACGAAAATTCAAACTGGATCTGTGTTTTGTGGTAATAAACATTGTGTATAAGTTTCATAATATTTGGTTGAGGCAAACTAAAGTTAGAGAACGGAAACCAATTTTGGGACGTACGTACGTACAGATGGCCAAGGGTAAAACTTAATGCCCCCTCCACTACGGCAGGGGCATAAAAAGAGAATAATGGACGAAAAAAAAGAACTAGAATACAATGTCTACAAAAATATATAGAATCCAGAAATGATGTTTCCCCCTACCCCCCATCCATACCCTTATACAAGTATTGTATATATACTTATATAAGACTATTATTGACCTCAATTTATTTTCTGGCTTTATTGCACTGTTGTGCTGCTGTCTAATAGACGTATATCTAATATCTTTTATCTAAGTTAATTGACCATGAAAGGAATATAATGAATGTTACAATGCAATAGATTATTTACTTGTAGCAGGATGAAGTTTAAAATTTTACATCTTTTTGTTAATTGATTTGCTCCTCTTACTGTATAGTAAATATAAGTGCTTAAACTATCACAACAAATATTAAAATCTTTTTCATTCTGTTGTATGTAATGTTTAACATTCTTTGCATAAAATACTCATAAAGGATACTATCCATCCATTAAAAATCTTTCAACTAACCTACAAAAGAAATTATTGATTTATATGAACAGTAACTATAGTAACAAAAAATATTTTAAAATATTCACTTTATATATGTATGTTGAATAGAAAATGTGATTTACAGTCATAGAACATCCAACCTGGACATATTTGAAAGAATTTTGATTTACAAGATTAAATTTATTCCTATATGGTCTTAAAAGAAAATGTTGAAAATAACATCTGGATAAAGATTGAACAAAGTTTGTTTGCTACACTCCAAATTTGATATTCTTTCCTGGATTTTGAGGTTCTTATTTTGCAAGCCTGTAGAAGATGGTAAAATAAATAAACTCCTGAAATATATGATACATTTACAGTCCACCCATTTACAAAATTTATAACACCTATTGTTGTCTTATTATCTATTGTTTATGATTTTACAGATTTACATGTCAATCAATACAATTAACTTCAATTATTACACGAGAGGACGTCTCTAACATTTTTTAAAACTTAAATTCGGCTTTGACGAAAAATTTCTCTAAATTTCCAGGATATATTTTTTTTATTTTCTAAAATATAAAAAGTATTCATTTATTTTATTTGTTTGGTTCCTGTCATGCCTTGAAAACTTTTCCAGGTGCCCAGGTTTGTATGTACTAGGAGTAAATTTGGAGATGTAAACAAAGCCATATTGGTGGTACCTACAATACATGTATAAAATGCCTAAAATAACACTAAAATTAATTTCTTCTTCTTCATATACAGAAAGTTAATTTCTAGCACATGCCTGATTTAACACTTTTGTTAATAATAATAAATTTAATTTTCTAATTTCATATTGATTTTCCAATTTTTATATTTGTAAGTACAATTTTTCAATTCTAATTTTTTTTTTTTTAAGATAAAAACAAAATATAGATTATGCATGAAGGTATGGGTAAATGTGAAGGAGAATTTCTCTGGTGAGTTTTTCCTTGAAGCACTCAGTAGTGGTACTGCAGGCTAATGGTTCAGGTTTTGATAGTTTGGCAGAAGACAGAACATTTGTAACTGTCTTTGCTGCATCGAATTTGTCTGTATGTTTGTTCATGATTAGCACTGGTGTTTGCTTTGCTTTACTTTTAATAAGGATGTCAGTATATGGTATAGCAATTTTGTTGTTAGTGATTCTAATCTATGGAACATGTTTAATCAGCTTTTAAGTCTTCTTTCTTGTAATGGTGGCCAGTGAAGTGTGTTTAGCATGTTTGCAACACTTTCAGTATATTAGTATTTAGAACATACTTATCTTGCTGCAAGTCTGTAAACTTTTACTATGGTGGGTCCCAGACAGTGCAGCAGTATTCTAGTTTTAGCCTGACAAGGGCTTGGTAAGCTTGGTCTTTGATAGTCACTGAGCTTATGTTGAGATTTCTTCCGACGAATGCCAGGGTCTTGTTTGCTTTAGATGTAATGTTTTGAATGTGTTTGTTCTTATTCAAATTTGATGATATTGTTACTTTGAGGTATTTTGCATTTTCAACTGAATCAAGAATGTGACCCTGCATATTATAATAAAAATAAATAGGTGTTTTCTTTGTGGTGACTCAGAGTATGTTGCATTTGTCAGGATGGAACTGCATTAGCCAGTCTTGTTCTCGTTTGCCCCTTGTCGGTCTTTGAGACAATATGATGTTGATTTTATTTGTCGGGAAATGATACTGTTGTCAGCAAAGAGCCAGATTTGAGTGTGATGTATATAATCAGGTACGTCATTAATGTAGATTAAAATAGTATTGGACCTAATACAGTGCCCTGAGGAACACCTGATGTAACTGGTATTTTGTGAGAGGAATGCCAATGGTTTTCTAGTATAACTGATTGTGTTTGATTTCATAGAAAAGATCTTATCCAATTTGTAGCTTGTTCAGATACTACATAAAATTCAAGTTTGTATAGTAGTAGATTTTGTGGAACTTTATGAAAGGCTTTTGCGAAATCCGTGATTAGATTGGTTTGTATGTTTTATCGTTATTTGATGATAGCTGGTGAATTAGTGAAATTATATGGGATTCGCAAGATCTATTTGCCCTGAATTTGATTGAAACTGTGTTGCAAATCATAAAGTATGTTGTTTGATTCAAGGTGTTTCATGATTCCCGAAATATAAATGCTAAATATAGGGATAAATTTTATTTTACTCAAATCAATGGCATTTTAACTTCAACTTGACTACATTTCAGTCATTTGATTTGAAGTACTGCTATACATGTATACTGTCATCAGATGGATGAACCTTTATTGCGTAACTTTCAAACTAAATGTTTTCAATATCAAATTGTCGTCCCTCACTGAAAGCTAATGAAAGGACGTCATCAATAGTCTGACAATAGTATGATCATAAACACCATTACTGAAAAAAAAGGATTCTACTGGTACAGCATGTTTTACTAACTGACTGAATTATGTCGAAAGCCTTAGAGAAACATTACCAATTTTATCTAACCTCATTTCAGGAGGAAATTACTCAAAAGTGGGAAAATGCAAAAAAGGGGGGTGATGATTTGTGTCTTTAAGTGGTAGTAGGGTAGCAATAATTGGCGTATTAAAACGGTAATCATTATTATTGGCGATTTTGATTTTTTTTATATAATAGTTAATGAAATATACTTTGATTTGCCAACAGCACTGTCTCCTAGGCAAATTACTTTGACCTTAGTACAGCCATCATCACCGGCTTTGTCGTAGTCAGGTGCAACATTCGCCATTATCGTTATTGCTGGAATGTGGCGCGAAGCATTATGGGATATGAGTTCCGTACTGGAAATCCCCTTTCAAACGGCACTGTCAAAAGTCAATAATTTCTGGCATTCAAACGATTGAAAAATATCCAAGAAATAAAAAAAAATTTAAACACTTCAACATATTCGAAAAATATCCAACCATAACACTATAGTGCAAACATTGCTCCCAAAGCTACAATGGGGGAGAATCCAAAATTCTCTATAAATATTATTCTATTTTTAGAACACGACTTTTTCCGTCAATTGATTTTTCAGTTACAATTTTTGTAAACTTCCGGCGCGGAAAAATTCAAGTTTGCAGCCTTGAAAGTTGTTGCAGGATTTTGCAGTGCTAATAAGTTATGCACCTGCTGAGGCGTCAGTTGAGGCATATTTCCATCTTATATAAATCCTGGTGAAAAATACAACAAAACCAAGACCATATCATTGTTAAGGTTCATCATAACAAATGGACAAAAATGGCTGTATTTACACCTTAAAAACTACTCTGTGTACAGACTTACCTGTCCAGTTTGGAAAGTTTTAAGGCCTGGCATCCACTAGATATATAAAAGTTAAATGCATTTTTTGTTTCAGAAAGATATAATCACTTTTGGATTTTGATGGGCATTTTTTTTCCTTTCTGCAGAAGGTGTAAAAATAAACAAACACCTGAATTGCTTTGATACTGTCCACTCTGGCACTCAGTTAAACCCTTTAACTCACCTATAGTTGTGTAGATACCTATTGTCTGTCTATTGTCCGTGTCAATCAAGGCCAATCAATACAATACAATACAGTTTTTACCTGAGAGGGAGCATCTCAAAGTTTTATCCCAACTTAGTTCATTTTTACACCTTCTGCAGAAAGGAAAAAAAATGGCCATCAAAATCCAAAAAAGATTTCATCTTTCTGAAACACAAAATGCATTTAACTTTTATATATCTAGTGGATGCCAGGCCTTAAAACTTTCCAAACTGGACAGGTAAGTCTGTACACAGAGTAGTTTTTGAGTGTAAATACAGCCATTTTTGTCCATTTGTTATGATGAACTTTAATGTAAATGGTAAAAAGCTATAAACATTTGTCGTAAATAGAAGAGAAATACAAAAAGTTACAGTTTAAATAATTATATATCACAGGCACTTGTCTATGTGAAAGTCTCTGTAAAATACAACAAAACAGATTTCTACCTTTGATAACGGTATATTTTTTTCTCGTGAAAAGTGCCTGTAAACATGGTAAATAGTCCAAATTATTTTGATGCATTGAAAATAGGAAACTATTTTAATTTTTGCTTTGATGCCTTCATGCAATTAAAAGCGGTACAGTGGAATCGGCTGTGTCTGTGTGGCCCAAGATGCAATTCCTGATTTCGTTATATTTAAAATGTAACATTCAAAGTATCGTTCTTTCAGTTTCAACTTTCATGAAGGTTTAAAATTGAAAAGATGAAAATTGATACGTTCAAGGATACATTTATGATAGACCTTATTACTATTTGGAAATCTACTACACTTGACCTGAAAATTTGCAATAATGAGAACCTATGTGATGTCCAGTAATCACAGACAAATGGCGATAAGGTGGTTAGCAATCCCATGATTAATCGTATTTAACCATTTTCTATAAAAATTATGACATCATTATCATTACATATTATAAGTTTCATTTTAAGGCAAATTTATCAAAATGAATTAAATTTTGCTTTGCATGAGGCTGCATCCTTGACAGTCTTGTTCAAACTGAAATGTATTTTGCCCCTTTATTCAAAGCTAACTCACTGTCTTTTTAAGGCATGCACAAAATCACTGGACTTTGGAATAATTGTAAAAAAAAACAGAGTTTCCCTAATTTTGGACACACATAACATCCATTCTTAATTAGGGTGAAATTAAATCATACAATAAGAAGATTTCATGAAATTAAAGTAACTATGCCATGGATTTGAATTGTTCACACAATATTATCTGATTATTGGTTTAATGAGTATAAACAGAAGTGAAGTCAAAAGTCTTTAGTGCACTGTACCTGTAAAATCCAAAAACAGAATGAACGAAATTGACAGAAACAAAATGCAATAGACCACAATAAACAAAATCAAATAATTCTTATATATTTAGAGTGAAAAAGTTTTAATTTTAATAGTTTTATGAAAATATCTGTACTTTATTAGAAACAAATGTGACCATTATTTTTCAATGAAATTCAAGTAAATGGCAAACTCGATACAATGAAATTTTACACTGAATAGCACTCATTTCTTCATTCATTTTATATTTCTAATCCTCACAGGCTTCTTTAACAAGTTGAAGAATTCAAACCAAATACTCATTAGAAATTTTTCAGAATCTATTAACCCTATATGTATATATGCGTCTCAAACATTGTATTGCAGTTGGCAAAAGTAAATTGAATTGAGATGATAATATGAATATTGGTTATTCACAAAACTATTTTAACCTAGCCATATTTGTGAATGTACATAAGTAAGTTACTGAACACCTTGTTTTTGTCATCAAGAAAGGAGTTGGTTCACTTACTCATAATTTTGGCCCTAAAAATCTGATTTTTATGCCCCACCTACGATAGTAGAGGGGCATTATGTTTTTTGGTCTGTGCATCCCTTCGTCTGTCTGTCCCTCTTCAGGTTAAAGTTTTTGGTCAAGGTAGTTTTTGATGAAGTTGAAGTCCAATCAACTTGAAACTTAGTACACATGTTTCCTATGATATCATCTTTCTAATTTTAATGCCATATTAGAGTTTTGACCCCAATTTCACGGTCCACTGAACATAGAAAATGATAGTGCGAGTTTGCAGGTTAAAGATTTTGGTCAAGGTAGTTTTTGATGGTTGAAGTCCAATCAACTTGAAATTTAGTACACATGTTCCCTATGATATGATCTTTCTAATTTTAATGCCAAATTAGAGTTTTGACCCCAATTTCACAGTCCACTGAACATAGAAAATGATAGTGAGAGTCGGGCATCCATGTACTATGGACACATTCTTGTTTTTCACTGTGAAAATGAGGTGAAAATTTGATGAACTCATATATGCTAAAATCTCCAATAGTTTCACAGAAAAAAAAGATTTTTCACCAACTACATCATAAGTGAGGAACATGTATTTGTGATATCATAATGAAGGTAAATTTCCTAAAATCCTGATTTTTTGCAAAATATCTGAAAAAATAACTGGTGCCAGCCACCCTTAGCCCACAAATTATTTTTTGCTGAAATATTCTTTATATACCATATTCTTTACTTTTCAACAAAAAATTCAATGGGGAGGAGTGGCGCCACACATAAAAATCATGAAAAAAGTGGAAAAAGTTAAAAATTTCTAGGAAAATGGGTGAAACTGAAAACTTTTTCTGTTTTAGGCTAATATCTTTATAGTTTTCTGTTTTAGGCTAATATCTTTATAGTTTTCTGTTTTAGGCTAATATCTTTATAGTTAGAAGCAGATACAGTTTTACGTATTATACTTTCAAATATCATACATTTATAGCAATATAAACATATCAGATTTACTTTAATAATTGAAATTAAAAAAAAACACCTTTACACTTTACAGGGCTGTTTATTGGGGCTCCTGGCTCTATACCTTTGTAGCAATCATCTTTTTTGGATGTTTTTATTGAATTCCTTACACACTGGCTTGTATTTTCAGAGTCCTTGAAGATAGTCTGCTTATCCTCACTTTTATTTCTTTATTTCTATTTTGAAATACCAAAATTGTGTTGGTCCTTTGCAAAAATTTTGGAGGTCAAAACCTTTGAACCACCACTGTGTATTTTTTTCTGTGAATATTTAGTGAAGGTTTTGAAATTTATATCTGAATTTTCACTTTTTCAGATGGTACAAATGATATGTAAACCTCCCTGAAGCTTCATATGTTAGTTAAACAGGAATCTAAAAATCATATCTTTATTGATTCTTACTACAGGTATTAATATGATGATGGAAAAACATGTATATATAAAAATAAGAAGTTGTGGTACCGTATGATTGCCAATGAGACAACTCTCCACCAGAGACCAAATGACATAGAAGTTTTAAACAACTGCTTAGTCAACATAACACTAGACAAAAGCACATAGTTATTGGCCAGTTTAGACAGTTTAGTGCATCATGGTAAAACAAAATTCAAGCAAAAAATATCTCAAATACATATTTGGTTACAAGTTGTAATCACATGCCTCTTTTAAGTATGCAACCAAATGCTTTGGCAATCGTAGTAAACTTCCTGCAGTAGCAAGCACATTTTTACAAATAATTTGTTAACTTTTATATCCTTAAGTCAGTGGTCATCCCATTGTGTGCATGTTAAACTTGTTTATAAAAACAAACCACATTTTGAGCCTGTACCAAGTCTGGCTAACTGGTTTATCTTATTTATTGTTGTATGTCTTTGGTTTTTTTTTCCTGATCATAATTGATCCTCTAAATAAATACACATGTATGTCCTTTTACAGTTTGAACATGCTTCTCATTATAAGAAAGGAAAAAAATTGTAAAGTGTCAACTTCCCAATATGATTATATAATTAAACACCTTTCATTAAACTCTTTTATTAAAAAAGAACATTCTCCATTTCAGCCAATGCTTTAATGTTTACATCTTTGGAAGGTTATGAAAGGTTTTGAATAGTGTTCAATTAAAATGAAGGTTTATTATTAATTTCTAGTTGAAACTAAATTTAATATTTACACAACTAATCACTCTTTAAGCATACATGTATATGTATATAATAAATTAAGCTGTTTTAAAAAATATGAATTTGTCCATTATGAATGTAATAAATTCTTATTTTACCATTTTTGTTAATTTTCCTATTCCAGCTATTTATTTTAGTTGTTCTTGTTTTTTTTAATACCTTTTTATATAAATATTTATATATTTATTATTGCACAATATGTTAATTTGAAATGATGGAAGGGAAATAACTCCTGCTTTGTAGTCTCAACAATTTTATTCAAATTGATTGTAACCAGAA